GAAAGGCTAAGTGAATGATGCATGCAGAAGAGGTATTAGTTACAGCCCAGTTGATCTTATGAGACTTATGAAGACCTGATCTACAAAGCTGCTTAAGTATCAGAGTCAAAACTTACAGGTCCTGAAAACTCATGCAACTCCATCACATAACCTTGGGCATGCTTTAATGTTCAGTACCCTTATTCTTGTAATAAAGGTTTAGCAGCCCATGAGGACCTAAGCATTCCTGAAAACACTTCACTAGAGCAGGATGAGAGGGCATGGTCTCAAGTTGTGCCAAGGGTGGTTGGCAATGGATATTAGGAAAAATTTATTCACTAAAAGGGCAGTAAAGCATGGAAACACTCTGCCTAGGAAAATGGTGCAATCACCATCCCTGGAAGTATTCAAAAGCCATCTAAATGTAGCACTGGGAACATGGTGTACTAGTGAAGACAGTGTAAGGTTAACAGTTCAACTAGCCTTAATGATTCTATGATTTTATGACTGTGTAGCTCAATTTCTATCTTGCCTCTTAATTTCAAAAGAATTTAAAATGAATTTAATTTGAGAAAATTTTACCCAGTAAATCAGACATCTGTTGCATCCTGTTCCCTAAAGTGCAAAAATGAAAACCAGTCATGTTTTAAAAGAAGATTGGATATTTTCCCACAATTAGCATATGAGAAATTATTTGTTATGATAAAACAGCAAGACAATGAAATACAATTTGTTGCTCCAAGAGAAATTAACATCAAGAAATTAAAATGTGACCTATGAAGTTCTAAATATTTAATAGTCAATTTAGGAAATGCTAAAGATTTGAAGAGAGCTTTTAGTTCTGAAGATCAAGAACCTGGATTTTATCGCTGATTTATATATATGACAAATATAAACATACCATCTGAATGTATATGTATATAGAAGTAACAGTTATATAAAGAATTTTTTATTAAGTGTTATTTTCTACTATACTTGTCCCTGAGTAGCATGAAATTAATGGAATTTCAGATATTTAGAAGAATAGATTTTAGACCATATGTGTTGTCTGAAAACTTGGCTAGATTCTACTTTTATTCAATGGTGAATCAGTACAGAGCCTGGAATAAGTTCTCCTTAAGCATATATCCAAATGAAAAGGCAATTAAAAATTATTTAAAAAATCTTAATCAAACCTAAAATTATTATTCTGAAGTTACAGCCCCTGCTTTGAATGTTATTCATAATTAATTAAGTTCTGTGATTTCATTAAATGTGTTCCACTATCACAATACTTCTCAATAATATTAGATCTTTGGATTAATATGCAATTGCAAAGTTTGATGTTGGTTCCTATTAAGAGCTAGAGTTATATTTTTTTTCATAATGGGATTTAATGTCAGTTTAACCAGACTTAATTAAACTTTGGCTTATAAATCATTTTATTGAGAAGTGCAATGAAATTTTCTGAGTTTTATGGCTTTTTAATTAGAATGAGTTAAGCCAACTTGTGGTTAAGTGTCTGCAAACTACTTCCCTTAAATTTCCAAGCTATTGTAGAATGTTCTAATTCCACAATTTAAACTTTATCAGGAGTTAAAGGATTAAAACCTCACTCCATAAAAATCTAGTTTTTTAGGGACATACTGACATTTAAACAAGTAATTTAAAAAAGAAGTGAGTCATGTTTTGATTCAATTATCAATTATGATAAGATAACAGCATGGTTAATACAGTCCATGACCACATACACACCTTTAATTGTCTGTTGTGTTAGCATCCTGATTTGGGCATATATGTAGAGTTAAAAAGTAACTTACTGAAAGCTAAGTTTTACATTTAAAAATATTCATATCCATAATAATAAGCATTATTTTCAGCTTTATCTACTTTATTCTATATGCATGCATGTATTTCATCTGCAAATATATTGCACATTTCAAGGAACTTCTGTCTGTAATAATTTTGTCATGTCTGTCTGCATTATTCATCTCTGCTACCTTATATAAAATAATATTCAGTTTATTTTTAATACATTCATTTAAGCAGTAAATTTTAAAAACCCACATGATATTGGAGAATTAAAATAAGATTTCCTTCTATTGCATAGGAGAACAGCATGTGACATACTAGAGGCAGAGTATAATTCTGGTATTCTAAATCTTGTGCCTTTTTTCCTCCCTCTAGTAGTTATAAAGTCTCAGTAATCCTGTGTTACTTCTGTTTCAGTTTCTGATGACCAGTCAGTCTTTTCCCTGGCTCAGAGCTAAACAAGCAATTATAGACAGCATTGATTTGAATTTTGATGTGTGAAGAACTGAATTGAGTGGGTGTAGCAGTGGAATTATTCACTTCCTTCAGTTTTGATGTTCTTACACTTAAGTCCTTGACTGATGTTTTGTCATTCCTTCCCTGTTTCTTGTCTTACAAAGTCTATCTAAAGTAACATTATGAAACTCATTGTTATCTTTTATCTGTAAGACATTGTAACTTACTGCTCCCTCTATTGCTTTTATATTTTTAGTTTATATAAAAAAAACCAGATTTTTTTCTTCTGCTTCAGTCTAAAACTATTTAACTTTCTTCTTGTAATTGTCTATGAATCAAGAATATGATTACACATTTACAATTTCCCCATGGAGATCAGACATCCTAAAAGAAATGTTTGGAGAAAAATACCCTGCAGAACTATAGTCTATTGTGCCCTGTTAATGTAGGGTGGGTAGTACAGAGAGTGCTTAATTCAGTCCTTAGGATACAGAGAACTAAATGAAACATTTTTGTTAGGTTTATATGTTTTATATAGTTATTCTAGTTTAGTTTTTTGTAGTTATTCTTATATGTATTAGAAATTTTGATGCAGTGAATCTTAATTGCTGTATACATTTTTCATGTTAACTGGATGTTAGCAATCTGTTCTAAACAATTTCAAGAAATAATGCTAAGTTCATGGTGTCGATCTTCATCTCAGCATTGTCATATGTATAGACAAACATCTAGATATTGATAATATAACTGTATATGACTGACAAGTTATTTAAGAAATAAATCAGACAGTGAAAAAAATACTGGAAAATATAGTGTGTGCATGTAAAGACTTAAAATATATTGAATGTGCTCAATTACAACCGAGTTTGTAAAAAATTCAAATGATAGCCTTTACTAATTCTGACAATTTTTAATTATGATATTATGCCATAAACTTCATATTGTTTTCTGGATATATTTATATATGAACTGCAACTATAGTTGTTTCATTCTAATGATCGTCAGCTTGTTTTTCTCATGAGCTGTAAGAGTATGGCAGGGGATACCCATATCTGGGTATGGCAGATATTGACTAATCCTATGGGTTTATTACTTTTAACAGCGGTTTTTATTTTCTTACAGTATTACTGAATCTGAAATATTTTTTTCTTCTCAGGAAAATATAATGGAAGTTATAAGAAATCAAGAATTTTTACTTCTACCAGCTGAAGAACTCCATAAACTTCTTGCTAGTGATGATGTGAATGTTCCTGATGAAGAGACCATTTTCCATGCCTTAATGATGTGGGTGAAGTATGATATGCAGAGGCGATGCAACGACCTAAGCATGCTACTTGCTTATATCAGATTACCACTTCTTCCACCTCAGGTATTTTTAAAATTATATAGTAATAATAATAACAACAGCAACAACATCACTGTTATTGTGTTATTGTGACAGCTCTTATCAGTTTATAATCTGCAACTGCTGAATACTCTGTGTGTTTAAAAGCAATTGAAAAAAATGAATGGTAATCCTTCACCCAGAGTGATCTCAATAAACTTGAGTATTGGGCCAAGAAGGGAAGAGTTGTGAAACTGAAGAGGAGTAACTGCAAATTTCATAGCATGCTAAGAGTGGCAGGCTGAATACTGAATATTCTCAGAAAAAAAACAAACCAAACCAAACCACTACCAACAAAAAATACCACAAGAAAAAGATTCCCAACATGTGGGGCTTATGATAGATACCATTATAGATAGATTATGGGTCAACAGCATGAATGAAGAAATCTCTATTTTTGTCTACATCAGGAAAGGTTCGGTCAGCAGGTTGTTTGAAGTGATTATTCCCATAATACCTGGTGCTGCTAAGGCTGCACCTGCAATGTTGTTTCAAATTTTGCATTCCACAATTTGAATGGCATAGGAACTAACTGGAGAATGTCCAGGGATGGGCTTACAAGATGGTATGTCAGCTAGAAAAGGAGGAGCTGAAGAAGTGGGCTTGTTCGGTCTAGTGAAGAGAAGGCTAAATGATGACCTAATAGCAGCTTAAGATGTGAAGCGAAGATCAAGGAACCAAATTCTTGAGAGCACCACAAAAAGTAAAAGAGGCAAATCCCCAAACTTGTAGCATGGACAGTTCAGATTGGGCATTGGCCTGGAGGAAATCACTTGGAAAATAATGAACAAATGAAGCAACTTTTTCAAAGGCAGGTTTTTGCCTAATTAGCTAGACCAGGTGATCACTAAATCCAGTGTTGGCATCAGCCTTGATTTGAGTGAAAAGTTGAACTAGTTGACCACTGGTGATCCTTTGGAGCTACCTTCCTATGAATGCTTCTATGAATCTGTGATTCAGGCCTCAGTTTCCTTTTTTAAAAAAAAATTTTTTCAGAGATTTAAATAGCAATTTTCTTCCATGCTTCCATACAATCATTCTTCTTTCTGCTAGGGTACTGGGTCTGGCTGAAGTGGCATTAACTTTCTTCATGTCAGCCCATATGTACTGTGCTTTGCACTTGCGGATAAAACAGTGTTGGGAACACACATATGCTGTGGCTATTCCTGAACAGTGCTGACTCAGCTCAGAGGGTTGGGTGTTTTGGGGCTCTTTTTGGTTGTTTTACATTCCAATATAAAATGAGCCTTGAAGGAAACAGTCAAATGACAGAGTTAAAGGTTTCATTGTCAGAAATGAGCTGTTCAGTTTTCAACATCTATGCCAATTAAGAAGGTAGCACACAACACTCTTAGTGCAGTGTTTGAAGTGGGTTTTTAAATCTGCCAAGCACTTACAGAAGGCAACTTATATTGCTCACACACCAGCCTCACCTCTAACTGTTATTGTGTAGAAAGATCATGAAAGTTTTGTTGGTTACTGGTCCCTGTGCTAGTTCTAAATATTTTTTTAATATTTTCAAGATCTACCACTATGGAGCTAAATGAGGCTATTTGCATTAGTCAGATGAAAGGAGTACAACTATCTTGTTTGTTCTGTGAATTGCTGAAAATGGTAAAAAGATTAAATAGTTTACTTTCCTTTTTAAATACTCTTATGTAAAATATCAGGCTATGTATATGTGTAAGTTGTGTAAGGTATGTGTGTAAGACATTTCTCATCTAGGATCCCTTTCTCATGAAAGGCCAGACCAAGTCTTTCAAAGTCACTTCCAACCTGCATTGTTCTATGGTTCTGTGGTATGTAAAGTATGAGCTGAAACAACGCAGAGGCAAGATTTCAAACTACTTTTGTGCTCCTAAGCTTTAGTCCTGCTACAAATTCTAAATATAAGGCTCACAAATTTAGCTGCATTCCTCCAATCAATAGTGATTTTACTTTATCAAGCTGTGTTGAAGCCCTTTATCTACACTCTTAAAGACAATTCCCGGTATAGTTGGTATCTGATGTGTTTGACACTCACCAATAAACTCCTAAAACCATTGTGTTTAATTAATTCTTAGTGTATCTACTAGAAAATTTCTCATGAAACTTCTTTCTTTATATTCAAGTCCGGATTCTTAAAAAGAAGTGACTAGTAAGTAGGATATATGCAAAAAAATGTTTAAAGCTGTTTTTCAAAAGTAAGTATTTTAGAGTGATATACTTCTGGCAATTCTCTTGTTCCTTTTTTTCTACTTTATCTGGAAATTAAGTCTGATACACTCGTACTCATCCATAATTGAGAACTGCATTTTAAAAATATTTGCTATAATGCTAAAAAAGTAATTTGTTGTTGGTTTTTTGAAATTAAAATTAAGACCTAACTAAATTTCAACATAAATTTATTGATCCTGAAAGTAAAAAATTTCCTTTTTATTACCAAAAGGTGATTTTTTTTCTACCATGGCTTATGCTTAAATATAAATCAAATAGAACACTCAATCATTGTTATTGCACTGAAAATTAACTGAAGAGCTCCATGGAAAGAAGCCAGGTCAAAATTAATAGCTAATTATTGAACCTCTGAGAAAAAAAGATTTTGGTTCCTTACTTTTAAATTCACTAAAAGAGATGAAGTCATAGACTGCACAGATTATTAACAGATTGGAAAGATTCTACTGAGATCCCCTTAAAATGAATTTTTAAATTTATAGCCCAAGTTTTTGTGATACCTCATTTCACTCTGAAGGTGCAGCAATTATATTGGCAGTGTAGCCTGTCTTGAGTAGTACAATATCAGACAATGTAATTCATAATTCAATAGAAGAATTTAGGAGAAGCCAAGCAGTATTAACTTGTTAAAAAGAAAGTATCATGAAGCTGAAAACGAAGTAATAGAACCTGCAGCGTAGCCATAGAACTTCAGTTTTATTTTGCTCCTTTGATTTGCCTGAAACCATTTGCTAATCTGAGACAGTTCATATTCCTTCATTCAAGTCAAACTAGAAAGACCAGTGGCTTTACCAATATAAGAAATTATTTCATTTTATAATAGGTAATATTTAGTTAACTTCTGTCAATAGACATTCTAGATATTTTATATTGATCTACACAGAAAATGTATCATAATTTACGCTCATTTTCATTCTTAATGGATTCAGGGAGAGTGAAAATTTGGTCAGACCTTTAAACCTTGTTAATGCTGAAGTGTTTTACATTATTTACTTGAATTGTTAGTTTACAAGTTTATTATAAATATATTTTTCCCCATAACTTTTAATAGCATTCTTCACAGAAAGTTAACAAACAAGTTAAGAAACAAACCAAAAATATCTTTATGATGACATTTTGTCAGTTGGTCAAGAATGCTAAGAAGATACTTTCTGTGGCTAAAAGGTGCAACTATTTTCCACAATTTTCAGCCCTGCAGATTTGACCTCAACAGTGCTGACACTAGGGGAAGGATCACTTTCCTTGACACTCTTACTTTGTCTAATGCAGCTCAGGATTTCACCTGCTTTCTCTTTGAGCCAAGGGCACAATTCTGGCTCCCGTTCTGCCAAGCTACTTGCCAGTTGGATGGCCCCCAGCATATACTGGTGGGCAAATATACATACACATACACATGGACATACACATTTACATTTATTTCATTCTTTTATAGTAGAATGTCCTTATGAACCTTTTACTTAAAGGTGAAAATCTATAGTTGTGGAAAGAGATGCCCATTAAGGTCTGATTAGAATAGCTGAAAGTGTTCTCATCTAGTTCCCTGATGACACATCGTGTAGTGATTACCATCCCCACTCCTCAGGGAGCAAAATGGTTCCTCTAAATCATCACTATTTCCATATAGACAAAAGTCTAACCTTGTCTGCAGTTGAAACAAAAACATTGACTTCTGGTTGTGAAGCCAAACAGTGTAGAAGAGTTTATATCTATTCCACTGAATTTTCCTCATCTTTCTCTCCACCTTTCCCAAAAGAGAATAGTTTCTTCTATGTTTGTATTTCCTATTCCCTGACTCAAGCTGTATCTGGAAACATTCATTGCAATTCATCAGCATATTTGAGCCTCTGCCTATTTTGATTACTAATGATGTAATTGCATTTACTAAGATGAAAGCTGTTTTCTGCTGTTTGTCTGTGCACAGTATAATGTATCTGTTAATGTTGATGCTACAGCATTAACCAAGAATGTGTGCAGCTTCTATTGGACAAAACATTATTTTTATGGTATTTCTTAAGAGCATGATAAGTTGTTAATGACACTTGGACTGCTGAAGGAATTTACAAGCAAAAGTTAGAAGTTAACACATTATACTGAGTGCCTGGAATAGCATGACAGTAAAGAGTGAGGGTGTTATACTGCTTTTGTGTTCCTCACAAACACCTTCAATGATAAAAAAGGCACAAATATTTCCTTGTAGAAATTGTTAAGTTAAAGAAAACTTGTACTCTTGCCAGTGTGCTGTGTTTATAATGACTGTTATTTGCAACTGCTTGTAACAGTAGATCACTGGTTAAGTAGGAATAGAAAAAACCAATAGCACTAGGTAAAGCATAGATGTTACTGCCTTTTTCTCTGCAACACTTTTAATAATATCACTTTCAGAGGCTTGCAAATCACATCAGTAGGATAATGCATAGTCTTCGAGTATTTAATACACTGTGGCTCAGATCCAGTGAATCTAATATAGGCATACAAATTAGATTTCTTGCCCAAGAACAGAAACAATGCAGTTCTTATAAAGCGAAGTACTTAAATACCCTCTAAGTCACTGGAGAGGAAGTGAACAGATCCGCATGAGTTCTGTTCTTATTTATACAGAGATGCTGTAGGTAACCTGTAGGAAATGCTAAGCCTCTAAATCCCTTTAGAATGTACACATTGCATCTGGCTGTACATGATTTTAAAAGCGTATATGAATTTGCATGTCATAATCGAGTAGAAACCCTTTAAATCCTTGCTTAGATAACATTGTGAGACAAACTTGTAAATTC